GTAAGAGATTTCATTCATCAATAGTTCATGTGCTCGTGTGTCTGTTGTTTGTTTGTTCTTTATTTTTTTTTATGTTGTTCTTGTTGTTCTTCTGTTGTTCTTCTGTTTATCATTGTTATTATTATCATTATTATTATTGTTACTATCAATTATTTTGTGTTGTGTGTTGTTATATTGTTTTAAATTGTTGGTTTCGTTGATATTATTATTATCATTATTACTATTATCTATTATCATCAATTACCACTGTATTATGTAATTATTATTGATTATTGATTATTATTATTATTATTATTGATTATTATTATTATTATTATTCTTCATCATTATTATTATTATTATTATTATTATTATTTATTCTCATCATATTACCATTCCTTCAATTTATCTTCGCGTTTCCTTTATTTTTCAATTTTATATTTCATTCCTCATTTCACGAAACATTATAAACTTATACAAACAGATTTTAAAAAAGGAATATTAAACCACAATACAAAAATAAAACTCTATTTCTAATTTCACTTTCAACGTAACTGTTTGTGTCTAAGTATATTTCACTTTTTTGGAAAAAAAAATATTAGCATTTCTAAAGTACTTATGCATAGGTATAAACCGCTATTTGTTTATATCAAAGTGTGTTTTTTAGCTCACAAGTTCAAAAGAAAATGTGTTTTTTTAGCTCACAAGTTCGAAAGAAAAACGAAAAAAAAAAATTTAGTTCCGTGAAACTCCAGTTAGTGCCAACGCTATGATCTGAGTGCCAGTGCCAGTGCCAAAGCAAATTTTACATGACCTATACGTGTATTTTTGCTCATCTACCTGTGCTGTGTCACTTATCTATCGTTGATTAGATCTACCTGTCAGTGTATCTACTTTTTTTTTGTTCTACTTACCAGCCTGGGGTTGGTAGTTCTATATTTTACGTGGTGTTCTGTGTTGTTATGAAGTTCTTTACGTCAGGTGCTGGTCTATATAAGTGCCTGTGTAGTGCTGCTTATCCTTCTGTGTGGATCTACCTATCCTCTGTCCATTTCTATCTATCCAATTTGCTTTTTTTATTTGCTGTACCTCCCTGCAGTGTCGTATTAATCTACTTTGTGGCTATCCACTTGTCTATCTATCTATATTAATCTATCCGACACACATCCATCCACCTACCTAGTTGTTTATATTATTTTCTATCACACGAAACATCCACCTACTTACCGAGTCTCACCTCCTTCTACCTACGTACCACCACCTACCCACTCCCCCTATCTCCCAATCCAACCTTCTTCCGAGACCGAACTCACACTCACCTCCTTCCTCTTCTCCTCCCTGATCCACCCTGAGCCACCTCCCTCGAACACAAATGAGCCACCAATCACCTGCGCGTCTGTGGCTCACCGCCTCCCCCTCCCCTCCACCTGCTCTTAGTCGCCTCTTGCTGTTCCTAGCCTCCGAGCCGTCTCTTGTCCCTTCACTATGTCCATCCTGCCTCCTCTGCGTGACCTTCGTCTCATGCCGCTCCACCTCCGTCGTGCTGTTGCACTGCGACAATCTCTCACACTGCTCTTGCCACTGGAGAGTGTTGTGTTGAGTTCATTGCGTGTGGTGCCGTAGTGGCGTTATACCTCCTTCGTTCATCTTGCCACCTTACAACATCTTCTTGTCAGCTCGCTTCTCGCTCACCTCCTTGTGCCTCCAAACCTTAGCACCTCCTCCCTCCACCATCCCTCGTACTGTCCTCCACCTCCACTTCCTTCCTCCTTGCCCGTTGTTAGTCGCGATTGCGCCTTTGGTGCCCACCTGCTCTGTCCCTTGCCCGTCCTAGTTCCGTGCCCGTACCCACCCTCCCGCTTTCACTGCTATGCCTGTCCCGTGTTCTTCCCCTTCTCTTCTCTCGCGTTCTCTTCTGCCGCACGGTCAGTTGCCGTGGAATTCGCGATCGCGCCTCGCTTATGTTTCCCCTTCGCCCCTCCCTCTCTCTTTCGCGTCCACCCTTGCGTTTATCTCCAACCTCTCGCTCGCGCGTCGCTGCCGTGGTCAGCGCCTCTACTCGTCCTCTCCCTCCTCCCGAGCGTCCACTCTAAACCAGATGTTCCAGCAGTTCCCGACGTGAGAGCTAGGTGTAAGCACTGATCTCGAGTTGCCCAAATGCTCGTTACAGTCCTCCTCTTTTGCTGTTTCCTTCAAAGCTTATCTGTGGCGAATATTTTGTTATTATTTCTTAATTAATTTTTTTTTATTTAATCGATGTACTTTCGCCGATCCGTTAGTTATATAGATATTCGTTTATGATGCTAGTGTGATGATGTTTCAAGGGTTGATGCTATGTAGTGTAAACTGGTAAGAGAAGTGTTTAGTTGAATATGGAGATGAATGGGAGGGAGAAGTAGTGATAAGTACTATTCAGACATATTTAGAAGTATAGAGGAGTGAAAGCAATATATCTCGTTATTAGGATGTATATACGTTGATATATATTTACTAACCAATGGATTTCTCAATAATACTTAAG